GTACCCCTGGAGTACTGTTGACTCAGTGCCACAAGCAAGACTACAAGCGCAAGCTTCGCCACTTGAAGCGGACCAGCTAATTACCATGGCACCATCTTTGTTGGACTAACGTGGAGCGACAGAAGATACATACGCGCGCGAAAAGAAAGTGGCGAGAAGTGGAACACATTGCACAGTTGCAGGTTCTTTTCGGATCACGACTGGAAGAGTGCCAGTGCTGCATGGGTCCTGGGCTCATGAGAAGCAGGCCATAGCTGCTTGTTTCGCTGAGTCAGAAACCTGGTCGTCAAAGGTGACTGTGTGAAAGACTGGCCGGAAATCCATCAAGCAAGAAGGGTCAACCTAACAAACTCCATCCGTTCAGATGAAACGTGGGGTGCCACCAATCTCCCTCAAAACAGGTGACCTGTAGGTGACCCACGTACTTCCTGGGCAGCTTAGGGTTTGGGGTTGGATCTGAAACGCAGCCCACACTCACCGAAACGCATGGGACCAGACCGAGCCGACCCAAGGAGTCCAATCCGGCCTCGGGGAGTCTTCACTAAGCTGTCCTTTGCGGCTGGCGGTGTTCAACCGTGACGACACAGGGACACCGCATGTTTGGGGGGGGGACTGAAGCTCTCCTTTTTTTGGGGGGGAAGGAACGTGGTGCCCATCGCCCAAAAGAAAACCAACACATGCATATCATTGTTGGTCACAAGCCAACACATAATCATTCCATAAAAATCAGGGTCTCCAATTAGTTTCACTGTTAAGGGGTCTCCAATTAGCACACCTTTGAGGTCCCTGGTAATCATTCCATAAAACCAACACATTCCATGTGCCCATCCTTCCTCTCATACCGTTCCGTCACCGTTGACGTCTTACCCATGACGCTTCAAACAGTTTGTGGTCCCTCAAAACCTAGGGATTGGTGAGAAACCCCAGACCCCTGACGCGAGGATTCGGGTTCAGGGTCGCGTCTGGGTAGAGCTTCTGGGCTTCGTGGATATCAATACATCTCGATAGCGGGTTTGCAACCCGAAGGACTCCACGACGCTCTCATGAGGAGATCGTCATCCTCCACACCGTCAACTGCAGGGTCCCCTCGAACCCCGAAAAACACCGTCAACCAGGGACCATAAACCCAGACACTCCATGTATGACATATACCTTCATTGGGGTGTTTTCAGGGATCAATTAGTAAACAAATATTCCATACATGGAGTGTCTGAGAAATATATCTTTGCAAACAGATCATACGGCTGTGGGTCATGGCACTCACGCTGGGCCCACTGGGCACCGTCCCGCCACCGCCCCCCGGGCCAGGTCGTTCACTAGATGGTGGACGGGTCGGATGGTGGACTAGTCGGACTTCGACCCCACTCTTTTTACATGTATGGTGGACCGGTCGGATGAAGATGGTTGGCACTCTGGTGCTCCAACCAGCTGTTGCTCCAGCTGTTTGAGAGTAGCCAACTGTTTGGGTCGGTCTGTCTCTACTTCCGAGGTCGGCATGAAGACCGTCGAAACAGCAGGTAAGTGTGTTGAGCTCTGGTGGTGTTTGATGGTGTTGGGAAACTCAGGAACCCTATGGATCCACTGCTACCTTCAGAAGGTCATTGAGCCTCCTGGAGCCTACATACATAGTCTCGAATCACCTTCTCAGAAGGTGTGTGGATCCATAGGGTAAGGGTTTCTGCCACAATTGAGAACATATCGAACTTAACTGGCTTTGAGGAAAGTTGTCCAACACAGCTGTCCACGGTTGGGTGCCATGTTAGAATTCTTTGGGTGCTGTGTAACCGTCCATCCTCTAAACACCTGTGATTCACTATCTGGTGCTTCAACAAATAACTATAGGTGCTAGGTCTGACCCATCTGAAGCGATGGGCATTGTCAAAGCACGATCCCTGTTCTGAACTGAGGGCCATGATGACGCCAGAATAGCCATTTCCACACCCTAGCCACGTTTTTCGGATATTCTATTGGGCACTTGGTAGATTCCAAGAGACTGTGCACCAAGAGTTCTATGTCAGGGGTGCTGTTCCGTCAAGTACATGTCTGACTGCCAGACCTCTTGATACAGAAGTGCCCAGCCCCTACGGGCTCAGGATGGCTTGATCAGAATTTAATGTGGAGGAGCTTCGAGCTTCATGCTTTGTCAATTTCCACTCTCCTTGGAACTTGAATTCGGAATCGAGTCTCCAAATTGGAATGCAGATGAGCATAGAAATCCAATCTTGTCCAACACTTGTATTTGGTCTCACATTAGATACAAATATCTAGGGATCCACATACCTTCTCAGAAGGTACTTGGGCCCTCCAAGCCTACTTAAATAGTCTCCAATCACCTGAGAAGGTACTTGGATCCCTAGGGAATACTTCATGTTGCTGAATGTGAGACCCAATCTGATTCCAAATCCTTTCCACACCGACCCTCCGGTTCGTTCTCCGCCTTCCGTGGGGCGACCTTCACCGTGACCTCACCGCGAGGAGCATTCTCGTGGGCCGAGCGCGGAGAACGTCCAGGTGAACGCCACGTGACGAAGAGTTGTTATTGATGAAAACATGAAACTGGACGGTAAGACACGAAGTTCGATCTTGTTGATCATGGATTAGATAAAAGGTATCGAACATATAACATATCTGTTCATCGAGTCAGTTAGATCATGATAGATTACCATGTGTCGAACAAACTTTAATCTTTAAGGAAAACACACATCAACATAATACTTTAAGGGTTAAGGAAAACACAAATCGACAACATATATGTTCAGAAGATACGTATGTGCAAATTGTCAGATGTATTTTAATATCGTGTCATATGATAAGACTAATATATATATATATAATATAGAGAGAGAGAGATTTAAGCACATTGTATGTACAAAAGTTGCTATATTTAGTATATATGCGCGATTGCTACATGACATCTATTATATTTCAAGGGTAATATAAACATGTGGCCAAATATCAAATATCCAAAAACAAACACATAACTTAACACGTGTGCTGTTTAATGTTGCAATACCCATAGGTAGTGAATGCAACACGCTACGTGTTCATAGGTCATCGAACACTATTACCACATGAATCCATATGATACCATAGATATAAGAGACCAAATAACGACACAACAATCAAGACAAGGTCAAACTCATTGATTGCAATGAATTGCTGAACAATATATCACATGACATACATCTCTTTGTTGGAAGAGGAAGTATATTACATGGACAACATGTCAAACGAAGGGAGACAGTACAAGGGTCGAAGATTCCACACACAATCAGTAACAACAAACACAACATCAAATATCACCTGAGAAAACTACACTATCGACTATCGGCGTCAGAACGTCAGACCTGTCGGGGTGCCATCCATGGAGGTAGTCGGGGCATGCCCCTGTCACATCCTCTGACTGGATGGGAGAAATACAACATCACCCAACTCCATCCCTGTGGATCCACATACCTTTTGAGAAGGTGATCGAAGACTATTGATGTAGGCGCCAGTAGGGCCCAGTCGTGCCTTCTAAGAAGGTATGTGGATCCCCTTAATCATGTGACTCCTGCCATTTCCATCCAGACGCCTGGCCACGAGTGCTGGGACCCCGTGTGCCGCCTGTGGCGCGAGAGTTGAAGAGCAACAAATATGTATTCCATCAACGTGGTAGACGGTTGATTAATGGCTTTTCCAATTCAACTGGGGGGGTTATTCCATCAACAGGGTTGTTCCATTTAAAGACATTTTGTTTTTCATGTTTTTCCAATTCAAGTGGGGGTAGGTTGGTTTGTGAATCAAGATATATCTGCATTAAGCACAAAGATGTAGAGGTAACTATTCCAGCTTTCTATGGGTCCACATCTCTTTTGGGGAGACCCTGGTCGACTGATCTGACGATGGATCTAGTGGGGTCCAGTGGGGTGGCGGTCCCGATAGACGAGTCACGCAACGGTGATGTGACCCAAAGCAACCAAGAGAGGGTTGAGAGACCCGAACTAGGAAGTAACCTAGGACCCTGGTCTGTGGTACATATGTGATGGGCGACCAGTGAAAAGGCTGTGAAAAATCTCTCTTGGAAGAGAAACGGGAGTGATATTTTGAGGGCCACCGAAACGAGGTGAGCTCTGTCAGCGTGACTGCAGCGCCGCCGTAGACTTTTGGCGCTTAGCTGAAGATGATGTAAGCTCCGTCCGTGAATGATTGGAGGAGTCGGACGCCGGCCCTGAAGGCGCACACCAATCCACAAGAACGGACAAACCCTTGGATCCCGGTTATCTCCCTTTGGATGGTAGTTTTGGGCCCTGAAGGGTGGCGCGTTTTCTTCCCATCTTCTTTGGACTCCAACGAGATACCAACTTCGTTGACCGCCCCCCTGGTTGGAGCACTCGAGTCCAGGCACTGCAAGAAACCACCGGTCCAATGAAACTCGTTTTGCGCGGAAGTTGGAGCAGTCAGAAACCACCAACACCATGGTGCTCTTAGAAGGACAATGCTGTTGATTTTGTCCATGCACTACAACATGTTCTATTCTCAGCAAAAGATATCAGAAGTGGATCTATAGGAGAAGGATTATCGTTTTTCAATGTTTCTTCATGATTCCCTGAGTGATTGTGCATTTCCGTAACACAGGCCCCCAATGTCATGTCCAATTTTCACAAACATCGAAAACAGTCACACAAGTATCGCTAAATTGCTGAACGGTGGTCAAGTAAGCTCTTCATTTCAACCATAATCTTTTGCAAACCACAGTGGAAAGGGATTTTCATGGACTTTCACCCAAACCCAAACACAAACCGCCCCGTTCTCCGGTTCTCCCGTCAAAACCCGATCCCGACCGTGGCGACTCTTTTTGTACCCGGCGACCGAGGCGCGAATTCCGGTTTTGGCCGAGACATCCCCTCCAACAAATCCGATCTCCAGCCATGAGAAACTCGTAGGTACCATGAAGGAGCCCTGAGAGTCCATTGCTACTAACAAGAAGCCACGAACGTAGCGAACGAAGCTATTAGGTTGGAGGCCATCACTATTAGGTTGCTGCTTGGATGGTTTGGGTTTTTTCAAAAGGCATGTTGGGCTTTGACACATGCAATCTGCACATCAATCTGTGTTTTTGAACTGGTTCTGGATGGAGTATAGTGTGGTTTTCAGCCAAACGCATCTGACAGAAAACAACCGCCAGCGCGGAAAGCATGCCCGCTCGCGCGCCGCTCCGGCGCTGGCAGCGTCACTGGAAAGCACTCCTCAGATGGGTCAGGAAACAGCCTGTCCCTACTTCCCAGCGGATCCACAGACCCCTCCTGTCAAGGGTGATGTGTTAGACACTGAGAATGGCACCTGGGTCGGGTGCCGCCAACCAACCTGAGAATGTGAATTCTGGATCCCTATAGGGCTTGATCCCCTGAGCAAAACCAGTCCCAAGCAAAAACAAGTGGGTGTTTCCCCAGTCCCGGCTCAGCCACTTCCTATGTAAAGGATTTCAAGTGTCGGGTTCGAACCATGTGGTTCTGGGACTGGGACTGGGGACACCCATCCAGGCTGCTGGGACTGCTGGGACTGGGTTCAAGCTGATGAAGTGGTTTTTGTGGTCTCTTCGTTCCCCACACCAAAAGCGCAGCCGGTCGACCGCAGCCGGGAGACCGGCTGGATTCGCAGTGCGAGAGCCAGAGCCATTCGATTCACGGCATCATCCGAACAGGTGGTGGATCCTCCATATCCAGACCATCCTTGGGAGTGGAATAGTTTTTTGGAGCCAGTGTATGTGTTTTCCTCTTCCACTCCCATGGCCAGTTTGGGATATGATGCATCATCTTCTGGTCCCACCGACCGTGCTTGTCATCCGCCCTCACCACACCCGCATCACACTGGTCATCTGAAAACGCATCACATCTGAAAACAAGTCTCTGCTGTGCCATCACACTGGTCACCTGCAGCATCTCCAGCATCTCCGGCGCTGCCCTCACACAGCTTTCAGCCGCTCGCACGGCGCAGGCCGCGCACTGCGCGCTGCGAGCGCACGGAGCGCATGGAAGGGTGGCAGTGAAGAGGTAGAGCGCGGCAGACCAGCGAGAAGACCTCCCACTTGGTGAAAAAAATCATCAAAGCACAAATACCAAACAAACGAACACAACACCGAACAAAGAGAGGTTTTGCAGGAACCAAAACCAGGTGCAGGTGCGTGAACATCTGGGCTGGGCACCCTAGGTGAATGTAGAAGTAGGGACCACCTCTATGTTCAGGTGGTTGATATAGTAATATAGGGTGAACAATCACAGCATGTAATTCTATTCCCACCCAAATCAGATCGCTGGGAAAACATCCGTGTTAAACCGGCCCCGAGCCCCCAAGCATGAGGCCGTATGAGGCTTGAAACCACGTCACTCTTGAAAGGTCGTAGAATTGTCTTTCCAAATCCCCGACCAAGTGCATGAGAACAACCTTCCTCGGCTTAACATTCTAAGACACCAAGCACACATACCCTACACCTCCAGTGGTACCTCCTCAGGTTCGGTATGAGTGGACCCGAACATGGCATCCACCCCAGTCCCACCGTACCTCAGGTTCGGTACGACTGGGAGGCCGAACGAGCTGGACCGTCCTGACTGGACCGTCTCGGTCTACCCGGGCGACCGTCCTGGTTCGGCATCTCTTCCAGTCCTATGGACGGTCCTATGGACGTTCTTCACTTCACTCAGTTCATCCAGTCAGTTCTTCTCACCTCTTCACTTCAGTCTTCCAGCCCAAACCAAGCCCAGTCTTCAGGCTTTGTCCCAGTTCCTCGGCTCTGTCTCTTTCTCAGCTTTCAGCCGGCTGCCTTGTGCATGCGCTCATGGCAGCGCTCAAGCTGATGCTGTCGGAGGCCACTCGGAAGCCTCACCAAAGCGCTGAGCCAGATGGCTCAGAGAAGGCCGGTGAAAGGTGTTTTGGAACCCAGTGAGAGCAACAAATCACAGCGTATTGCAAATAATAATATGTATATAAACATGAATTAGGGTCATAAATGCGGTTTATGTATATAGGTAGTATGTACATGGTCTGGACATATTTACATACAATGAGGGTGTTTCAGTGGTCAATGCATGTGAATATTCCATATCATATGGAGTGTCTGGGAATAACGATTGATGAGTATGATGATGGTGATGATGGTTGTGGTAGCCGTAGTCCTAGGGACTTAACTTAACCAACAAAATGCATACCAAGTCCATACCCATCCAGATCTGTCCAGATTGGTCCAGATTCCAGACATATAAGTCTGGAAACTGGTCCAAGTCCCATCTGTCGGACGTGACATCTGTTCTGGTCCCACGAAATGCACGTGTGAAATCTGTCCATCAAGGGGTCAATGTACCGGCCATCCAGGTATGGTTCCTCGGTTCCTCCATTTATAACTAGTCACCGTAGGTGACTATTGCAGTCCCATGGATGATCTGGGTAGGTCCATATACCAGTTCCATGACTTGTTGTGTCTATAGGACATGTGTTCTGAGTCTTTTCATCCTCCAAGTGGCTGGCCATCGCTGCGAGCAGTTCCAGCGATTGCTGCCACTGAAGGGCCTTCTCACAGCAACTGATGGCAGCATTGAAGCAGGTCACATCCGGTCGGATCGATTCCTGAACGGCAGGCGCAGGGACAGGCGCAGGCTACACGTACGACAAGAAGGGACAGGTTTGGTAGATTATTCTGATTTTTCAGCTATAGTGCTATTCTATGGGAGTTAAGGGAGCTGGAAAAGCTGGCAAAAGGCAATGCTTAGCTTAAAGGTGTGGCTCTGAAAGGCATATTCTATAAGTATGGTCCATCAGCGTAGGGTCATCCTGGGAACCTCCTCCGGATTTCGCCCCTTGCATTTACCATGGCTGGCAACACGCCTAGGGGTTGGATTCCAATTTTGAGAAACATTCAGATGGTGCTAGAGAAGTACAGATCGAGTCTGTCCTATTACCAGTAACAGCGGATGATGATGGTTCAGTTGTAGGCCTTTTTCCAAAATACTGATGTTCTTGTTTACTGACTCTTACAGGTAAGAACAGACAGACCCAACAAAATGATGCTAGAGAAACATCTAGGATCCACAAAGACCCGTTGAAGACACCTTCTGCTTCGGTCCTCACGATTCCACCACTCTATTCTGATGGAACGATCACATGACCAGCACCCAGGGACCATGTGCACCAGGGTCTTGCTGTTGTCCACAGGTAAGCTTCTCAGGGCTGTGATGTGCACACCGGTGAATGCTGGTCCAACCGGTCTCAAAGAGGAAGGTCGTTGCGAACTTCCACCAGGACAAGTCGTTCGTGTCTGAACCCTTTTCGGGATCAAAGAACGAAAGGGAGCCCTAATTAATAGTTACTCGACGGAATTGTTTTTGGGGTCAACATGTCAACACTTCCTGAGATTGTTGAAACACCGTGCCCAACGAAAAACAGAAGTGGTTTCCAACTCATAGATTCTTGACAACTACTCACTTTTCTATCTAGTTTGGGGTCACTGGAAAAAACCAAAGTGTTTGCCTTGTTTGCCTGTTTCTTGAGGCTTAGACCCGGCGTTTGAGACCCGAAAATGGAACCAGACGAGTTTAGACGACGTTTCCTCTGCAAATCGGGCGTGGTCTTTCACCAGGTTCCATCTGGGTCTCTTCCAGGGCATACCCGATAATCATCCATGGGACGGTTCAAAGAGGCAGTCCCATGGCTAAGCCCATGGATGGGTCAGCCCATCCATGTAGTATCTAACTGTTCCAGTCCCATGGATGGTCTGGGTGCTAGGTTTTTTGGTGTTTTTTTGGTCTTCATCATCTATACCATGAGGGCAGAATATATGAGTAAGATTTAGTAAGCAACTTGGCCGTGGCGTTTGACCTGGAGACCGTGACTCGGCCGCTGACTCGCGCCCATTTTCTCAGTAACTGTTCCATGTCTTCTTCCAGGGTGTCACTGTGATGTCACCCTGCTGATGTCACGGACTGGTCTCCGACGGGTCACCTGGATCCATCGCATGTCACGGACTGGAGTAGAGACTGATGTCATTGCCGGGGCCCAATGGGACGGACACCTATTGATCAAGCGGTGACGATTCCAGCAAATGCTGGATGATCTGACTATGGTGCTATTCAGGAAGACTCCTGACATCCTCAGTTCCCCTTGAGAAAAGCTTAGCTTAACCTGTTTCCATCTTAACCCTTTTTTCCATTGGGGGCCACCAATCCCCACAAAAGGTGACCTGCAGGTTATCCACCTACTTCCTGGCTATGTCGGGGTATGGTTGTATTCAGGGGAGGACTCCTAATGGATCGTCGCATGCCACCACCAACTTCATCCAGCTGGCTAATCGCATCCGTTCAAAGAAGCTCAAGGCCGCTTGCCACTGATGGCCCTTCTCGCAGGAACTCATGGCTGCGACATAGCTGATCCTGAGGGCTGGGTTAAACATGGAGGACAGGATGGAAGAGCCTCTTACAACAAGGACTGGTCTTATCTACTTACCTCTTTGGTCCCAACAGTTTCTGATCTACTTTCTCTTGTCGGTATGTGGCCGCTCGTCACCAGCTCCACTCGTCACCGCTCCACTCTCTCGGGTGAAGAACATCGGTGTACTCCTCTCTGGAGTGAGTGAAATTGCACCACCGGTCAGCACAGTGGAAGAAGCCCTGGTGGCCATGCAGCGGCCAAAAAGAACAAAATGATATGTAGTTCATGTGTATATATATATAACATATAAATACATATATATATATATATATGTCACCTGAAGTGTATCTCTTGGCACTTTCTATGCTTCATCTGTACGACTTGAGTAGAAGAAATGTTTCATTTGCACAAAGAGGCCTGTAAAAAGGAAGCCTTGCTGACTCCAAAAAAATCACTGGGAAGGTTCCTGGTATACACAAAACATGACCAAGCTAGTGTTGTTGGAGATCCTCTCTCAGCTACCTGCTACGAGGGTTCGTGTCCAAGAGTCGGACCCGGTCCTGTCAGGGTCCGTCCTTCCTTTGGGTCGAACGGCCACATGTCACGGCCCGGGTGGAACAGACCTTCACGCCGGTTTTGCCGGGAAACCTGTAACAGTCGGTAAACAAGAACATCACCAAATTGGAGACAGGCTATGACCAATCATCATCCACTGGGCCCAGCTTTACTGGGATATATCCAAGGTATGATGGTGTGACCTCAAACCAGGGGATCAAGTCAATCAACACTGGGAAGATCCAGGTAAAGGGCTCGGTTGCTTGGTCACGTTGTTGGACTCCTGGACTGCCAGGCAGATGAAGCCATGCTTCTCTCCAACAAAAGACTCACCGGTGCTTTGCTTGCTTGTTCATGCATGAGACCCTGCTTGGAGTGTCACTTGTGTTTGGTCAGCCACGCTTGTCCCAAGAAGGGGAAGATCGCCAACCCTATGGTCCTTTGCTATTCACTTTTGATAGAAGAGTCAAACAGATCCCGCACCCAAGCCTTAGTGGGGCCTCCGGCGGCCTCCGGTTTTCAGCAGGCACAAGCATCTGTGTGCCAGCACCGCCCAGTAAATCCAGGCAACCCACGAGAGTACGTCGTCAAACAGTGGTTCCAAAGACCAAGATCACACACCTTTGAATCATTCAAAAGCAAGAGTCAAATCTGGTTGAAGGCTCTGCTCGATCATCCACCAAAAAGTCCTGAAGCAGGCAAGGATTGATGATGGTGGCAACAAAAGATATATACTTATGGATTGTGGAGTAGCTACCTGTTGGGCTGTGATCTGTAGAAGGTTTCTGCACCTTATCTGGGCCCTGGCATCTCAAAAGTATGAATACTTTTTGTCCAAACTTTCTGCGCTGCAAATGTCTATCCTGACATGCACATCCAGCCCGGAACCCAGTTTCCTGTTGGGATGCAAAGCTCCTCAGAGTGCTAGGTCTCCTGAAATCACCCCTTCTCTTTCACTAGAGCCCGAGCATAGGCAGGAATTGACCTGTTCACCCCATGATCCTGGTCACTTTGTACAGTAAAGTTTATCCAATTCCCCGGGTCCCCGGATGATCCCTTTGCAAAGCAGTCAGGTCAAGCAGGGCTACCTTCTGTTCAAATATTTATTTATTTATTTATTTATTTTTTGCAAAAAAGGAAGAACCCCGGCAAGTAACGCCTTGGCTCCTGTGCTGATAACAAAACACAACAATTGGATATCCTGCAGCAAAACGTCCCAAACCACCCACCTGCAACTCCGACCCCAAAAAACGCAAAAGCATACAAAAGCAAGATCAAACAAGGTATAGGAAGCAAACAAAAACCAAACCATACGACATGCGTCTTCAATGATAGCTCGCCACATGATATGATCGTTCGCGTCGCGTCGGTTCGCGTGCGCAAACAAAGGCGTCAACAAGTCCGGTCCTTAAGGCCTGTTCCCATTCCAAGGCCTTCTCACAAGCGCTCATCGCCACGTTACCCGCTGCAGAGGAGATCAGCGCGCGAGTGGAGGAGGTCGAGATCAGCAGGTGCAAGGCATCGGGCCAACGCCAAGCAGTCTCATAACAGCTAAGGAGGGAGACAAAACCTGCAGGGTCTTTTTGGAAGTGATGAACTCCAGTTTCATGCATATATATGTAGCTTCTCCTGCTGGGTTGGGAGTTGGTGGAAAGCTGGGTTGGAGAAATGGAGGAAATGAGGAAGCTAGAATACCCCTGCTGATGAAAGAAGTCTTGCAGCAACTGGCCTGGAGGACCACTATTCACAGGGGGATGTGACGGGACGAAGACATGACAGTGGCGGGCTGCAGGAGAGAGACACAGCATACAGGACTCAAAGCATTTGTTTGACAGTGACATTTATCGCGGCTTCATCGAATCATGGCAAATGATGGATCTTCGAGATGATGTAGGATCACTGCTCCTTCAACAGCATGTTTAGACATTCTATAGTCTGTATAGATGTGTTTACTCAACAAAGCAAACAGTTTTCCACAGTTCCTATCGTCACCTCTTTCCATCAAAGGTGGAGCTTTAAGAAGTCAAAGCAAGTCAAAGAATACTCCCAAGCCCTGTCCAAAAATCGTCCTCTTCAGGAGTCATCTTCCACATTGTTCCACTTCCCACCCCCCAAAAAAAGAACTATCTATAGATGCTTCTCTCAATAAATAAAGAGGCCACTCGTCTTCTGACGCCCACATCGATGCAAGTCTTGTAACCTACAACAAAAAACATGTTTTGTCCAGAAGGGGATTTGTATACGATTTCATTTACCCATGGAGCCCAGACTGGATCCACTAATATAAAGAAAAAAACCTGATCAGTCCACCAGGTCGAACGTAATCACTCTTGTCTACTCCCTGGATCGACAGACCCCAAAAAGACCTTCGAGCCGACGATCAGCCCCCTGGATGGATGGGGGGTTCGCTTGGGGGTGGGGAGGTTCGCCTCGAAAACCTTGGAACTACATGCCCACATTGACCCCATCCATGTCTGACCCATCCATGGTTTCTGACCCATTTGCCTGGGAGGGGTCTCCTTGAACCTTTTTGGAGCTACACACCTTGCCATGTCATCCGAGCAGCTCACCACATTTGGTTGCACCCGGGCACCCTGCATGGCGTCGAACAGTACCCTGGCGCGCTCCACGCCCGACGGGGCGCTCCGCAGGGCGCTGATGGCGGCACTGTAGCCTGGGGAGCTGAGCTGGGTGGGGAACGAAGCATCCAAGCCTGAAAAAACTGGTTTTGAGCCTAGGGGGTTGGTTGATTTGTCTATATATCTATATACTGTAGCAGTTCCTATGTATTTTCGACTCTCCATACCACACGCAAGTCAGGGGTAGCATGGAGATGTGCGCAAACTGTATGACCCTTGCAGTGACCTTTTTTGTCGCTGGAATTGAGACCGTAGCTGATATGAAAAACATATCATGCAGTAAACACCTCCCAGCTACATGTTGGAGCAGGGCGATGGAAAAAGAATCAACTGGAGGGACTGGGAAGGAGTCTTGAGCCACTGATGCTGGTTTGGGGAACGGGCATGGATTTCCATAATCGATTTGATGACCTTGGGAAGAAGCGAATTGCCATGGCTGTCCTTCATGACTCCCTCCGCGAACTTGACAATCAGGTCATTCAGCCGCATGTCTGGGTTGCTGTATGAGTTTGGGGTGTTTTTTTCCTTCGAGATAGAGCACAGAACTGGAGTTCAAACTTTATATCACAGTGTCGACTGCCAATTGTGGACTGCATGAGTCGGGGCTAGTTGTTGGTGATTCTATACCACTCCTAGTCACTCTCAGCTACTCCGTGGGAGGCAATTCCTCCAGCTCTTCGATCGATCAATCCACGCCCCGTCGGGAGACTGCGCATTGCAGATCCAGCGTTCGTGAGGGACTGCCCTGTGTTAGAAAGATGACTCTCGGATACACAGAAGTGTCATGCCGTCACACAGAAGTCCATTACTGCCCTGTGTGACTGCCCTCAGAAGTCCATCTCTGCCATAGAAAGATGTTTCGAGTTACCCTGTGACTCCCCAGATATGACTCAGTCCGGAGTGGAGATGAGAGGAGTGGAGTGTCTGGGTATACGATACACGAAGCCTCATATGACCTGAAATGGCATCTCATTGAAATGGACTGAATAGCTATTGGAATACTCTACCCTAGGCTTCCAACAACAAATAACTGAATAGGCTCTACCGAATCAACTAAGGACATTACACTACAACAACCAGGTCAACACGGTCAACATGTTCTTTTTTTTAATGGTCTTCGAAGTCTAGGGTCTTAGAAGTCAACCATGGATGGATGCTTTCCATGGAAAAAGTCATATATATGCTGCCTCTTCCAGTCCCATGCAGTGTGGAATATCACCCAAAACACGTGAGGAACGCGCGAAGCACATCGCCGGACGTCCGTCCTCGCCGAGGAGCTGACGACGGACGCCGTCCTCCGCCGCCCGAGCTCGTCCAAGAGGCTCAGAGCCTGCGGAGAAGAAGAGGTGGAAAACCGGAGCGGACAACTCAGGGATAAAGCAGTGCAGGGAGGTCCAAACGAAGACTTGTGCGGGTCACTGGACTCAATCACATGTGACTCAATCAGTTGAAGCCTATGACTCAAATGCAAGGGTGCAAACGGACCTCATTCATTTTCAATGCCAATGGCGTATGTTTTCACGAGACCTGTTTGGAGGGGGGGTCTCGCTCTTCCCATTGGCGGTTGTTGGGCCCTTCCCATGGCGGGTGGGCCTGAACCCTCATGGTGTGGAACGAGCGTCCGTCGCCCAATGACCACCAGTCCGACAGAACCGTCGCCGAGGTTTGGTGTGGATCTGACGCTTGCATTTGCTTGTTTCTCGGACCCTAAAGAAAAAGAGGAGAACATAGGAGAACAAGCAAATGCAAGCAAATGCAAGAAACCAAGACCTGGTTGGTGTCGGACCTGGGGGGTTCCATCCCCAGATCTTATCAGGGGAGGGGATTTAACCAGTTCGGAAAGCACAATTTGCCTGATCCGCAAAACCAGGTGATACTGCTCACCCATGAGCCAAACATGATCACTGGGATTGGAATTGACCACAGAACGACCCCAACCACCCCAACTCATCGTATAATTATGGCTGTGGGTCATTTCACCCCCAAGAGAGATTCCTACTTCCATTCATCAATAAACAGAGTTCAGGTGAGCTGGCTTTGTAGTCTAAAGTTCATAGCAAAACAAATGGCTCTTTGGGGAAAAAATACCTTTCCGTCAATGGTTGGCCAGAAACCCTGGGGTACTGTCTTCACCGGCTCCCGACAGTGGACGTCACTGCGACACGACTCAGGAGATAAACAATGCAAGGACATCATGGCCACAAAAGACCAAAGAAGGCGCCTGAAGAGTTTGATGTCGGACCGACGTTCATGGTCAGTTAATCAGTTTTCCTGCGAGAATCATGAGATGCATGGCCAAGTGCCTTGCCAGCGTTTCATAAAGCACATGTCACATGTCCATTGAACAAGAGACTTTTTCGATTGAAACGGGCTCCAGCACTGCGCAGGGCTGGCAAGTCTGCCTCCCACAAACAAACTTGAATTGCACCTGGGTTCTTGGGCAACTTCGCTGCTTGAAATCCGAGATCGCCTTGCAAGAATTCCAAGCTCGCCTGTTGCACGTCAGTAGTGTCCCACGGTTTCCGAGATTTGCCATACCCAGTGATGATCAGGCATGTCGACTCCTTCTCCTGCTCCAGCTTGGTGGCCACTGCAGTGGAGAGCCAATGACCCAGCACAACAAGGGCAGTTCCCTCCGAGAGGTCATGAAGGTCGATCTCTGAAGCGCCGCAGCACTTCAATTCCAGAATCTCTGGTAAGTTGCACTTCTCAAACATAGTTCCGCCAATGGCACTGTCCCGAATTTCAGCACAATCAAATAAGGCATTGTAACTTACCAGATTTGGTCGCACATTTGCCTCGGACATGGCCTCAAACAACTTCAATGCTTGCTGCCATTGCCCGCCCTTCTCGCAGGCACTGATGGCGGCAATGTAGCTGATCACCTCGGGCTGAACTCTTGAGGTAGGCATGGCCTCAAACAAGATCAATGCTTGCTGCCATTGCCCGCCCTTCTCACAGGCACTGATGGCAGCACTGTAGCTGATCACGTTGGGCTGAACTCTTGCGGTAGACATGGCCTCAAACAAGATCAATGCTTGCTGCCATTGCCCGCCCTTCTCACAGGCACTGACGGCGGCATTGTAGCTGATCACGTTGGGCTGAACTCTCGCAGTAGGCATGGCCTCAAACAAGATCAATGCTTGTTGCCATTGCCCGCCCTTCTCACAGGCACTGATGGCAGCACTGTAGCTGAACACGTTGCGCTGAACTTTCGCTGCAGGCATGGCCTCAAACAACTTCAATGCTTGCTGCCATTGCCCGCCCTTCTCACAGGCACTGATGGCAGCACTATAGCTGAACACGTTGCGCTGAACTTTCGCTGTCGGCATGGCCTCAAACAACGTCAATGCCTGCTGCCAAGCTTTTGCCGTGGCACAGGTGGATATTCCAACTGTGTAATTCGACGCATTTAGCCCTATGCTTCCATCTTCCTGGATTGCCTCAAAAGTAGCATGCACCAGCTTCGCTGCTCTCTTTTGCTGGCGCAAACCTCTCAAAACCAGCCCAAGGAGTGCCTTCGAGCGCCGCACTTCCGCTAGCAGAATGGCTTTAAGAGACTCAAGATTTCCTTAGTCTCGTTTTGGTAACCTACTACAAGCAAGGCCCCAGCTAACACCAGTATCTTCAAATATCTTGATATGTAGTGGTCACTCTGCCGGTACTGCTTCTACAGGTTGGCCATGTCCAAGAAAACACAATTCAAAACATCCACGTGTCCTGCAATCTCCGCTTGGCACAGTTTATGCACCAATCTATCCGCCACTTCAGAATCGTTTGACATCTTTCTGCGGCCGTTGGACCTGGAGATGGATCTCAAAAACTCTGAACCCCTCTAGTGGACAGGGTGAATCCTTTCAGACTTATGGTTGACATACAACCTTCTGGCAAATATATACAATTATATTGTATATATATATATCCCCATGCAGGTATCTCCAGTATGGGAGGCTGTCAAATGCCTTGTATTCCGCTGTAAACAACTAATTTTGTCTTTCGGACTAGTTCCCACCTCGCTGATCTCTCTTCTCGAACTCGTCTCAAAGTCCTCCGCCGGATCTCCTTCGACTGTTCTCGAAGGCAAACCAGGCCCAGCACCACAAGGAGGCCAGCAAAAGGTAGTCCAGGCTGCAGAAGTGAAGCCGCAGGCGAGTGGCTGCACTGAAATTGCCATTTGCCTCTCCTCAGATTCGTTTTGCAAATCATTGCAAATCAGTATGATATGTCCTGTAGAAGCCTTGTAGAAATATGCAGCGACTTTGCAATTCCATGCAGTTTCTATAGGTTCGTAATGGTTCGCCCGGTGGAAACATACAGTAATGTCTATCTGCAACAATCTTACAAGTCGTATCTTTTCAACTAGTCTAGAAAACTCATAAACACTCACTTCATCACCGCAGTACTGACTTGGCACTCCCTGGTTTCCGGTTGCTTTTCCAAACATCAAACACATAAAAACCTCCAGGAGAGTGCTCCTACCTTTAGCCCTTCCGAATAAGGTGCCAAAACATGTGGACAAATATAGGACATACGTCTCACCACCCAAAGGGTCGTGGATCACCATCCCAGAGAGCTGTATAGACCCACCCCTCAAACCATGTGTTCATCATCCCATCTTCACATCAAGGCCACCAAGGCTTTGAGCTCAGGAGGTGCTCGAGCTCCGCTCGTCGAGGCCGTTGGCACTCTACACTTCGGCCGTTGGCGCAGACGCTGGGCAAAGGCACCATGCCGAAGAGATACATGGCAGCGGTGCAGTGCTAAAGCCCTGCCGGCCCTTGACCCGAGTTCTTGAAGTCCCCAACGTGAGGACACGATGTGTTAAGTGCATATAGTATTATGTGTGTAGTATGTAGGTGGGTGTGTTGGTGTCTATGTATTTATGTACCTCTTTTTGGAAGACCTGCTCGGGCCAGTGAAAACCGAGCATTTCGGCCTACTTGACCCTGCTAGGTTGACCGGGCCCCCAGTAGTGTTTCGGTTCATTTTCAGTGGGCGAAACCGGTCAGTCCCCCTTTGCCATGACCCACTGCCATACATTTCAGACCTTCCATATTTGCCCATCAGTTAGGGTCGTTCATCCGGATTCGTACGTCCCATGGATGGCCATGACCCATTAGAGTTCGTCCCGCCGTCGTGGGGGCGCGGGTCGTTTCCGTGCTCCGCCTGTGGCCATTGGCCAGCTTTCTCGCAAGAACCTCAGGGCGCGCGGCGCCGGTCCGCGCTGTCCGCGTGGGCACAAAGGCAGACCCCACCGGTCAAACTGCGAGTTCGGCGTGGTGCTGCGTGGACTGGAACGCCCCGGTGGTGCAAAATCGGAAGGACATCGCGAGGACTGGACCCTGGCGATCAAATGGTTTGGCACGAACAACCACGATAGATGGAGGGGAATGGATTTACAAGCAAACACGCGCAATTGCTTTACAAGCACTCTTCGTTCCGATGGAGAACTCAGCATAGCGCAGTTGCCCAAACTGTATCAATTTATAACAAAGATTTCTATAAATTATGGTAAAACATTGTCTTTGTAAAACAACAAATGAATGATATCCTAACAACATCGTACTATGGTAAATTGATAAAATGTCGCTTGGTTTATGTACTGATAACAAAGTATATCAAAGTATGATAGCACCAGCCAGGGAATGCTGAGAGAGCACTGCGCCACCCCAGCCCTAGACCTGCGCCCCATGGCAGTCCAGGCGATCTTTCTCAGGGGTTCTTACCAAAGCTAGCTAGCTGCACAGTCTTCAGTGTCTCCCCTACCATTCAAGTTTTTGTTGGCCAAGCAGCCATTGTTTTACTAAGGACTTTAGACTGCAACCCCGATACAACATGTCTTTAAACGGTCGTCTAGCCGAGTCAGTGATTGAAAACTGACCGCCAGACCGTTTGCTTGGAAATGGAAGACACATGCCTGATGAGGTTTGAGTGGAATGATTGAAGGAAGTTAAATCGAGGACCTCCCAAGACCTCGGGCCTAGTCTTTAGGGCAAAGTGCAAAAGAGAAAACAACGTGCAAGAAAGGAGACGCCGCCATGAGCTAGATCTAGTGGACTTGGTCATGCCATGTATGCGGTTCTCAGCTTAGTGACTGACAAAAAGACACGCAGGTATACATTCATGGGGGGTAAGCGGTTTCCTTTGAACCAAGCCAAAGTGATAAAGAGGCTGTCCTAAAAAAAGAACTGAGCAGGCGCATGTGTACGTAAGAGAAGACAAATGAGAGGAGATGAAAAAGAGACCTGGAACAGATTCCATCCAATAAGATGAAACGGATGAATCACTTGGAACATCCCTGGTTTCGGAACCGAGAGGGACAACAAAAACCAACAAACAGGACATCCCAGGCTCAAGGGGATTTCACCAGTTCGGACCCGATGTGCAGGACCCCGAGCGCATTTTGCTACGCACGAAAGAAGTCTGCATCGGTCAAGGCACTGATGGCTGCGTTGAAGCAAACGACATCGGGAAGCACCTGGTGCAAAAGTCATTGGCTGCTGATTGCTGGGACAAAATGTCCAAGGGTGTCCATGAAAAATCAGCGGCTGCAGCGCTGAATCCTGCTGAAAGTCTCAAGCTGATCCAAACCAGCAGGTACTCCCAAACCATTCGTGGGACTGGACGAGTTGCATGCAACTCTGCTACTGGTGCCACCTCCATGAATGTTGATACGAAGAAACAATTGCAAATCTAAGCATTCTGGCATGTTCCTGCTGAAACTATTTCTATGTTAAGACTATATGCTTATGTGGATTTCATAAACACGACGTGGTCCAACTATGTACTAACATGACTTGGGTCTTACCTAGATCTATAGTACTTACAGTGACCTTTTCAAGGCCTAAGTGACCTCATTCTGGGATCTCAAGTTCGGTCACTGGGAAGGTCCTGGAGGCCTGGGTCTTTACATGGACTTCTTTCTTGTCCTACGGATCCAACCCGAGCCAGGCCAACGGTCGCACGCCAGGTGCACCTCCTCCCGTGCCATCTGCCGCAGAAGCTCCAGCGCCCATGGCCAACGCGCGTGGCCTGCGCGCGCCACGGTGCTGATCGCGGCCGCGAAGGCCAGCGGCGCCGCGGCGTCGCGAGGCGTGGCAAGGAGGAGAAGGAGAGCATCTTGCCTGGGAGAGCATCTTGGGCCGATCAGTTGTGGTTGATTTCAGGAGTCAACTATCAAATGTGGTAAATAATGGTCAAAATTCCATACTCAAACACTTGTCTTGAATGGAATGGTTGCATGGCTCTCCCCATTTTCTTCACCATGACCGATCCACCCATTTTCAGGTCAGCTTCAGTCCCACCAGGATGTCGTGTCTGGAAGAGGACAGAGGTTGTTGGGGGTCTGGTCCGGGGATTCAATCCTAGGGCTACTGACGACTACCTGAGAAGATGGCTGGGGTGGATGGTTTTGGGGGGTATAGCCACCGAACGATATGGTGAAGTCGCCCTTACCGGGTAAAAGAGAAAAATGCCAAACTGATTTCTTCCAGCTCTGAGGGAAAACCACAAGAATGCTTCGCAGAAAGATGCTGCTGCAGCTATTTTGATGGATGGACGATGGCGAACAGTAACCCTCCGGAACTGGTGCTCCATGGTGTGAGCTCTTCTGGGACGGTGAAATTCGGACGAGCACGAATTTCCACATATAGTGGTCCCCAACTAACGAGGTAGAAACGGTTTCCAATAATTACATGTTTTAATATGTTTTATATAGTGGGGATTTACTGTTCTATCATGTTCTATCAATTTGGGGGTCTGTACACTACCACATCTGCTCTGATGTCTTAGGTTTTTCTTTTAAGGTGTGTTTCGTGCTAAACACCGCCGGAGCCAAACACTGGGCTCTCAGAGATCTCAGGAGCCTGCTTCAGATCTTAACAGGGCTCTCACTCAGTGAGCTTGCGGAGCTTGGGGTCTCTGGGTCCTAAACTTGGAAACTCATTGACTTTTCCGCACTGAGCTGCGAGCCGCCGAACACAAACAGTCTTTTCCTCTACAGGGGATTCAGGGGATGGTCCACTTCCACGTTTGTAGAAAGATAAGAGCTCTTCCAACGCCAAGGTCTTGTTCCCTTTTCACCGTGCCACCATGCTGTGGCTTCCTCCGCTGCACTGATGGCCACGCTGTAGCTGACGGCGTCGGCCGAGGCGACCTGCCGAGCGCGGCCAGCGAAGTCCCAGCTCTTTGGGGCTCATCTTCCCCCTTCCAGGTGATACTTTGAAAGTGAACAGGTAATTAGTGACGAATTCAGCGTGACTAAGGCAACTAAGGCCGAATACCTGCTTGAGCGAACTAAAGGGCAAGAATGTCTGCTAAGGCCTATGAGCCTATGACTGAGGTTGCCCTCATGTGCTCCCGCAGGTGCCTCCACCATCTTTGCGAAGAGCTCCAACGCCGCCTGCCACGCCGCCGCACGGACGCAGCCACTGAGGACCACGTTGGTGGCAACGGACCTCATCGGACTGGTGGAATGACGGCGGCTGAAGACGCACATTGCAATATCATTTACTCCATTTATGACCCGATATAAGTGAGTACCCTTCCTCCAACACTCATGGAAGTGGAGCTGCTGCAAACAGGAGATTGTCCACTTCCATGTTTGTTTCAGGGAATGTACAGTAACTATTCCAGTCCCAGTTTGATGGGCTTAGACGCTCTGGGATGCCTCACTCCTCGGCCAGGTGTGAAATCGATGACCTTTGGCCCAATGGCGATCGATTGGGCTGCGACCTGTGATCTGGAAACATCATCGAAGTCACGATCGGAGCAATCGATCGACTCTCAAACACGCCCAATCAATCCTTAGGGCTCCTGGCCGCCCCCTCCGTTTCGAAGGTGGTTATTATAAGGGTGGATTTTGGGGGGTCTACCCACCGAACCTGAGGACTGGCATATGATGAACTCAGAAACGGCCGACCGGGGTCGTTGATTGATTGACACGGCTCGCCGACGTCGCCCGTCGGTCGGGCTCAGTGTCCCAAACATCTGCAAACAGAAGGGAGATAGCTGGATCCTCGTTTGGGCGGAGAAGAAACGCCGGACCCTGTAAAGTGCTGGACTGAAGATCTAGGTATAGCGTCCAATTTTCCTGGATGGCGTCGAGACCTGTGGGATTGATGGATTGACATGTTTGTTTGTCATTCCCAATGGTCTTTTGGTGGTTTGACCCTTTGGACGCAACAAAAGATGATGTTCAACAAGTAATACTGACAAAAGGAGTTCCACCACAATGTATAGGTCACAAACTTGAGACAACATCACTGATTCCATCGAACATGTGCCTGTCTGAAAACGAAAACCTGTGAAAACAGCCATCGGCTTTCTTCGGGTTTCACCTTTACTCATACACTCCATGGGGACTGGACGTTTCATGCCGACCACATGGCGATTTCCAGCTCTCCGCGATGGCTCGAGCAGCTAGGTCCGTCCTGCCAGGCGTCCGATGCTCCGCGGCTCGCAGCAACTCCAAGGCCACCGGCCACGAGGGCCACACGCCCGTGACGCAGCTCGTGATCCTGGGCGGGTTTGGACGGCGGCTTTTTGGGGAACAAGAGAACCCTGGGGGCTCCCAGTACCTCCTTAGAAGGTATGACTGGACCCTCTAAACCCACCCCAAACACCTTCTCAGAAGGTACTTGGAGGCCTAGGGGAAGGGTTCTTCTTCTCCAATGGACAGCGAATGCAAACATCCGAAGATATCTCTTACCTCGGCATACATGCGACCAAGACAATCGATCCAAAACATGAGATTAGGAACCGCATCTCGGCAACTATGGCAGTCCTCAACAATTTGGACATTCTTTGGCTCAACACTCGCTGCAGCAAAAAATGGAAGCTGTTAGTATACGATATGGTCTGGAAGTAAACCCACGCAGGGGGCGCCGCAGCTTCTCAACACATTCCAACTCAAAGGACTTAGAAACATACTTAATTTACGAACTACCTACATTCAACGTGAAAATACCAATGAATTAGTTTACAGCACAGCCAATGAAGCACTCAATGCGCCAACTGCAGGGCCATTCAGGAAAGTAAAACCCATGACAGAGAAACTTGAAGAACGGACACTGCGAAACTCGGTGCTTCGAAGAGAAAAACAACACCCGCAACACCACTTTCTCCACAGCATCAGCAATGCCAAGAGAAACGACACACCGCAGGGTGGGAAGACCAAGACTCTGCTGGACCACAAACAACACGAAAAAGTCCTGGGATATTGTGTGTATCAATAACCAAGCTCAGCCAAGACAGCATTTCAACAAGTATTAATCGCAATATGAGAGAACAAACTGTTGCACAAACAAAGCAATATCAACCACCCTTTCAGTAGCATCCTTTCAGAAAGCAGTCGCAAGAATCACCTCTCAGTGTGAATATCCTCAATGTGAATCTCAGTGTGAAATCACCTCACCTTCACGCCTCATGCGTTTGCTTATTTGATCTAAGTCAATGGTGGGCAAAGTGAGTGCGCCGGTTAGGTTGTATATATGCATCGTCTTTTGAAGTAGGTTAGCGCCAACGACTTGACGCCTTGATAGGTTGGATAGTTATGGCGAAAAAAGGAGAAGGGTTCGATGCCAGGTACCACGTATTTTTTGTTGTTCACTTGGGGGTGTCCCCTCTATTCATCAACCAACTCATGGCAAAAGGCCGTCTATGTTCTCCCCATTTCTCCGCTGATGAAGTCGGTTTCTCCGCGTGCTTTGAAAGGGTTGCTTTGTGTCCAGTGGTGTCCATTGTTCTTTTTTGCAACACTGTCATGTCAAAGTATTGTGTTTTAGAAATTCGAACATATCAAGACCGTCGGTGATGTTTGTATGTCAAAAATATATGTAATTCCTTGAAGAATGACGCTAGTACTGGTTACTGTACCATCTTTGATTGATGAGGCCTGAGATGGTGTTCTGGTTTGGTTTAACTTGCTTTTGCCTCGATCTGAAAAGGCTGCACGCCACCTGAAAAGGCTCCCCAAAGTGGGTTAGTCCCCAATCGATAGTTGTTTTTCAGATTTAGTTCCATCAGATTTGATTGCAGATGTTGGCGATTTCGCGAATCGTTGATTTAGTCGTGACATGCAACAAACCGTTCCATGTAAGGGTTCATGGGAATGTTCTATTTCAAAGAAGGAATCAAAAATGGAAAACGTCAGGTGATGATCTTCCCCAACACAAGTATTGCCACTAAGTGTTGCATGAAAAGAATCATATAGTATATACATGAAAAGTATTGCCACTAAGCTGGTTGGTGTAAACGGTGGTTGGTAACCAGCAAGCAGTAACAGCGGATGATGCCTGGCGTATTCTGAAAGAAAAAAACGGGTTTGGTGTAAATCGTGGTTTGGCGTACACGGTGGCTGGTGACAGCCATGGCTTCGTGTGAATGGTAGTTGGTGTAAAGCTTGATTTGGGATAAGCTGTGGTTGGCATAGACCATGGTTGGTGTAATTCAACCGTGCTTTGGTGCAAGCCGTGGTTGGTATAGACCGTGGCTTGGTGTAAACGGTGTTTCGTAAACAAACCGTTGTTTTGGTGTAAACCGTAAACCGTGGTTGCTTTAAACCATCAAAACAGCAAGCAAACAGCAAGCAGCAAGCAGCAGCAGCTGATGATGAGTGGCATTAGTAGGAGGAAGTGTTCATGAGGCAGCTTGACGAGATGATAAGCTCATGGCCATCTCCAAGAGGGCATCAAACTCTGTCACACTCACCCACTCCCCGTCCGCGGGGAGAGTTGAACCCGCGGAGGGGGGGTGTCCATAACATTGCTTTATATAATCAAATAATTGCTTTCCGAGGCGCTGTCCACCCCGTCATTTTATGTCATTTTATTTGCTAAAGCAAGGCTGCCAGGCTAGCTTTCGTGAATGGGCCATGCATGGGCGGATGGTCTGGGCATACTGAGGTCTGAACGGTCTGAACAAAAATTGCAGTCCAAGCATCGCAGCATTTCGCGTGATGGTGTTTGGCTGCACTGCAGCGCTTCCCATTAATTCCTCGGAGCTCGGCAGTTGATCAGACTGGTGAGCGCTCTCTACTCAAAGAGAACTTGACTTCACCCACTTTAATCCCACTTTCTGGCGTTCTTTCAGAACATCCCACGGTAAAAGACCAGTCGTCGCATTCCACCTCCTCCGACCAGTCCGTCCGAGTGCATTGAGGGAGTCTCACAGGCCGACTTACGCTCCATTTGGTGGAGAACCAAGGGGGTCGAATAGCTTCTTGTTACTAGAAGCGATGCACTTGTTTCTAATAGCAAACATTGTTACTACTAGTAAGGCACTTGTTACTACTAGCGTGAGGATATGGTGAAGGAGCCAGGAAGAGGCAGATACGAAATCGTGAAACATGGGGCCCACGACGTACGTTTTTGCACAGGGGTGGACCAGTGCTGTAAATTTCCGGTCAGTTTTCCTGCAACATCACGGTGAAGCAAACGTTCTACCTGGATTTCAGTAGGCCCCGAATCCATCCATCACTTTTTGTGTGTTTAATTTATACAAGTTATCTTGGATCTGCGGCTCCCAGGAGCCTTGACAGAAAAACAACAAAAAGCACAATAACTTAAATTTAACACGACATCTGCACGTTAGGGGATATCACCAGTTCGGGAAACATGAACAAACATCACCTGTTCACAGCCAGTTCACCCAGACTCCTGTTCGGGCACTCCTGTTCGGGCACGATCCCTCCATGGAGCCCCCCCAGCCTGGTTTGGCACCAGCCCAACAAGCTGCCTCGTTGGGGGACCCCTGGTTGGTGTTCCAAAACCCGAGGTGAGTCCCGCCCAGCAAGCCTTGCTGCTTCGCTGCTAAAAGGTTCAAGACTTGTGGCCATGGTTGTCCAGTGATCACTGTGCTGTAGGAGATCACATCCTGGAGACGGTGGCACAGTCGACTCACGCACAGGCACCAGCGATTTTGTTGGGAAGGCTTCTCTCAAAAAAAGCAGCTGGCCAGAAGAACACCAAATCACTTATAAAGTAGGAACAAGTGCCACGCTAGTAGTAACAGGTGCCTTACTAGTAGTAACAATGTTTGCTATTAGAATTAATTTAGAATTAGTTTAATTCCAATTTGTTATTAACTTATATACACTATCACCAACACAGACTTTCAAGAGGAACCGTCTCAAAAACACTCATCGATCTGTGGCGAACATCCTTCATTGATTGGTCCCGTATCTCTGGTATGGCCATGTCCTGGCAACATTTGGAACAACCTTCCAGTGGAGGGACCGTGGATCTGTTATTTTGAGTACTCTCCCTGCAACTAACATGGAAGTGGACAACCCCCTGTTTGTAGAGGAAAATGGTCTTCCAAGGGGCCATTCTCTACTTCCATGTTAGTTCTAGGGAGTGTAACTAACGTATCTGTGAGTTTGCCAAACGGAATGCAAACGTATCAGTGCTCCATGGTCGTGTAGCTCACCACGGCGTCGCGGGGGAACCACACAGAAACCCATTCCCCAGACACTCCATGGGACTGCCATATATGCCGCCCCATTGACCCCCCAAAACCACTTCAATGTAGGCATATATGGCATACATGGAGTGTCTGGGGAATGGGTTGGCAAAGTTTTTGCTTTCGCCTCCCACATGAGATGTGACGACGTGCGGCACCGCTTCCGTGCCCCGCATACAGAACGGGGCTTCGAAGCTGCAGTGGAGCAGTGCTGCCAAGGCTCAGGCAGCAGTTTCATCTGGGGCATGGCCCTGAAGAGACTCAAAGCCTGGAAGGCAAAACATCAAAAGAGCTGGTTGGGTTAGGTGGGGGGAGGTATCCCAAGATTGATGGAACAACATTTTTTCAATATGGCGTCACATGTGGGGGTGGTTTTTAGTCCCATCCAGTGAGTGGATAATGGGCACCCCAAACCTCCATGGATCGCACCCCGTCGAACGTGACTGCTGGAATATGGATCTTCTACAAACTATATATATTTTTTTTTTTGAGTGTGTACTTTACTAGGGAGACACCCAAAATCTCGTCCCTGGCTGGGTAGACTGGTCTATTTTCCGAACCTGGCAGGGGATCGGAATGCCGGCGGTTCGGTCTCCCTATTCTAAGATATGTGTTTGGATCAGTCCAGAATGGCAATAGAATCCTGGAACTTCACCAAAGCTTACCCTACTTGCCTGGCCTTCTAACATAGTTTCAGGCCCCCAGGCAAGCAAGTAGAGATGAGCCCCCCCATGACATCTCTGGGCTTACAACCACATCCAACTGCCATTGGTTTAATAGTGTTTCCCGACAGACAACCATATCCCTAGGGCTTCAAGTACTTCCTGAAAAGGTATTTGGACCCCTCCAACCCACCCCAAACACCTTAGCTATACCTGCATGAACGAGTCATTTTCATTCAAGGAGAGCCATGTCCATTTCCTCTTTCCAGTCCCAGGACGCCCCGTCCCTCGTCCCAACTCGTCCCTCAGCTCTCGCCTGCGTCTGTGCCGCCGCCTTGGCGCAGGCGCTCAAGGCCGCGTTGACGCCCACGACGTCGCCCGCCAAACGTGTCTGCGTGGATGCCAAGGTGAAGAGCTCCAAGGCTTGGCGCCAGTGGTTGGCCTGAGGCCGGAGGGCTGGTGCTGGTGGCCTTTTTGGTGGAGCTCCGGGGAAAGGGGGTGGAGCTGGTGCTGGTGGTACCCAAACACTCCATGTGTGGCCTCATGTGGCAATATACACAATATATGTGGCATATTTATTAGTGGAATAGTTTCAGGGTTTAATGTAAGCACTAGTGTGTGTAGTCCAAATACATGAAGCGTTTGGTTGCCGCAAATCTGGGGAGACTTTCTTTCGGAGGCGTCAAAGAACGCCTTCGCTAAGCTGAGACGACCATCAGTTCACTTGGAGGTGCCGAACTTGGAGGTGCCCAATGCGTGCCCAATGGGTGCCCAGAACATCCACTCATTGGACTCAAAAGCATTCCGAACGGCCCATCTCCTCAGGTTCGATGGTATTCGACCCCCCCCTAACCACCGACAGTGCCAGTCCCACCTTCGAAAACGGAGAAACGGCGGACCCCGGAGCCCTAGGGATCTATGGACCTCAGAGAGCCCTAGGGATCTAGGGAGCCCTACCAGTAGAGGGTAGTGTTTGCCTTGGGCTTTATAGGAATTGGGTTTTGCCTTGGGCTCTGTCGCACTTTCGACCTCCGTTGCATGGAACGGAAATGGGCGGTGATGACGTTGCCACCGGTTTTGGGCGAGTCCTTCGTTGGAGAGGATGAGTTCTTGGGATCTTCCCCAAGATCTTGCAAGAAAGGGATGCAAAACAAGAAGCAGTTCATGTCTATAAAGTCCATGTCACAACTGGAGTTCCTGAACGCAAACACCACAAAGGTTGGGCCTTCAACTACAAAGGAAAAACTTCTCAAAAATCACCCAGTGCCCCAAAACATCCCAGCAACCTATGCTGTTCCGTGACACTCCTCAGTTTCCCTGGACAAAGTGGTTTGCAAGTTCCCTGTCTCGAACAAAAAGAACCAAACACACACAAACACAGACACACAAACACACACCCACACACACCCACACGCACCTTCTCACACGCACTGATGGCGGCGTTGTAGCTGATGATGGAAGGTTCCACCGCTACCGTGTCCATGTACTCCAGGAAGTGGAGCGCCTGCTGCCATTCACCCGCCTTCCTGGGGGCGCGAGGCCGTGAAGAACACATGGGACCAAGGTCCCAATTGGGATAGGCATGGACACATGGACTCCGGACTGGCACGAACTTCAGGGGTTTGTCGATGAAGAAACCTCAAGGATCACCCACGTTCCTTTCGGACTTCAATGTGTTGAGGGTAATCTGTGCTCCTCTCCACAGAATGTTACTTGGAATCATGGATCCACTAATAATGTACCGGCCGGTATTCCATTTGTTGGTTTTGTAAACTGGGAATTGAAATCATACATTTGAAATAAACATAGGTTTTGACAATTCTGGTGAATTTCCAACAGTCTGGAAATGGGACTGTTAGTCCTGACTCCTGATCAGTTCGAGTGGTTTTCTGCAGGGCTCGATGGGGCGGCATATCTTCTCCATTGGTTCTGTCTGGGAAGTACATCTGCCCACGTGCCCAACGGGAGCTCAGCTTCCCAAGCCCCAGAACAAAAGATGGTGTCCAAAAGACTACCCGGACAAAAAGGACTTCCACCACAATGTCGCTCACAAGTTTGGGGAACTGATTCCATCGAATGGTCCATGTTTTCGTTCCTAATGCCATTAGCACCGACAAAAACTTGATGTAACTACGTGGGATGCGCTTGGGAAAAGCTGAGCTTCTCACATGAGCTGATGACGGAGTTGCAGCTGATGACATTGGGTTTCACTTCACAGTTCTGCATTGAATCCTTGGATTTTGCGGGTCACCACTGTGCTGCCGGGGGATACTGCGATGGCCATATGTGATGGATCGGGATTCCGTGTCTGGGTTCACCAAGAAGCTGGCTATAGTCAGAAGAGGTGGAGTGGGGATATAGCAGGAAGTCTCGGAACACGGTAACACGGGCTCCTGTTTAACTTTTGGTGCCCCTTTGTCTCGGGCTCTTGAAGCCTTGCGGGTTGTAAAAATGCAGTATACAGTATACATTGTCCACTTGATGAAACTGAACCATCTTCAAAAAAACAATTCTCGGAACGCATCTGTTTGTAGGGTGCGAGCACGCAAAGGTGACAACATGCGCTATACCAACCCTAGAGACCAGCAAGCTGGCATTTGCCTTCTAAAATGACCAGAAACGTGCTATGGAGTGACAGTTCTGGTGCTCGCCTCCTGGTGACGCAATGATGAACAGGCCCAACTAAGGAGGAATCTTGCATGCTCCGACTGGAACATTGATTTGGACATCCAGGATCGACTGATGGGTTTGTCCGGTTCCTTGTGGCAGTAAAGCAGCCATGGGACTTCTGCGCCTGGGAGGAATCAAAGGTGCCAAGATTAAAGGAACTGGAGACAAACCATCTGAGATCATCTGCGCCATTTGCGGTCATCACGACAACCGCGAACAACCCTGTCCAGATTCTCGCCTGGAACCTTGAGGCCAACGCTTGGCCGCGCCCTTGCTCGCGGAAGATTAAACCTTTGCCTTCGCCTTTCGCTGAGCCTCCAACCCCATCGTCTTCGTCAAGAAACTCTTTTAGAGCCAAGTTCTTGGAGGACAGCGCTGTTTCCACAGTGCGAGTCTGAGAGCGAGCTGCCAAACAAGCCTCCTTGTCACATCAACCATGGAGTACTTGTGGTTGCAAAAGGGCAGGGATCATGAGTTCCACTGTGGTTGGTCTTGGCGATCACTTCGAGAACAGAAACAAATCAAATTGGTTCGGAAAAAAAAACTAGTGGATGTACGCGAGCGAGCAGCTCGCTCTGTGTTTCAGCTAGTTAGTTCCTTCCTTCCTGTGGACCCCGCGGGGAATACCGAGCACGAGGTGCTTTTCATACCAAGCAGCTGGGATGGCAGGCTTAAAAAGTGAATCGTGCTTTATTGCGTTACTCAATTGTGAGCGCGAGGGGGTGCGAGATTTAATCGGCCCGGTTGCTGGCAGACCTTAGATCTGGAGCATCCTCACAACCTCATTAGGACCCCCACCACATCCAGACGAAGTGCTAGAGGGCAAAACGACTTCCAAGCACTGCTAGCCAACCATTCAGTCTAGAAAGGCCCCAAGACCCAGAAAACCCTTGCAGATTGGTGCGTCTTGGGCTGCCCTACGTTACCCCAATGTTGTCCGCGCCTTCGATGGGGATGTCACTGAGCCTACGGCCACGGCCACCTGACGTGCTGGAATTCTATCTATAACCCCAAGCACCTTATAAGAAAACGCTGCGCAAGTTAAACAAATGCACGTGGGAAGCCCACATTTAGATAAGGTTTTTACTCGCTTTTAAGTTGCCGCCTTCTCAACCAACAACATTGAACGATTGTAGGTCGGCTTTCGATAATCAGGCTCCACCTCTGTCCACCTTGGCTGTCCACCCTGTCGGTGCCTGTCCACCATGACTAGAGACAACAATCCCTACACCTCCAAGTACCTCCTCAGAAATCCCAGGGAATGGAGTCCTAGGGAATGTAGCACCAAGCCTCGTGGGCACCGAGAATCATCCCACTCCCCAGCGACACGCCGCGTTTACGCGACATGCGTTCCTTCCCCCAAATGGCACGCACTCACGCAAACGCACTTTCCACCGAGGCCGCGGAGGGTACCGCGCGCGCGTGCGCCGCCCCTGGAAGAAGAGAAGGCTCCTGGCGGCGCGCACCCTGCGAGAACAACGAAGACATAATATATTGTTTAGGAAGTAGTTGTTTTTTCAATAAACATCTAGGAACCAAGGAACCAAATAGTGCGAGCGTTTTTCCGAGAAAGCTCCCCCTAAAAGCGGTGAAGGAGCGTGAGCTCTCCTCTGTTTAGTAGGTAGTAGCTACCCTTTGCTAGCAGCTTACTTAGAATCAGGTCGGTCAGGTAGTCTCGACTTACTTCAATCATTGTCTTGTCCTAAACAGCAGCGTCGCTCCCCGACCCCTCTCTCACGGGTCGGCGGCCGCGGGCGTAAGCCCCCTAAGCAGGTGGAAGGGATTACTCCAACCGCTGTTGACCTTTCCAAATATAGGAGAATCTTAGAGATGAAGCAAATTCAAGAAGGTTTCGTAGAAAAACATGAATGGCCTCCAACTCCATCTTTGATGCTTCAGAAGCTCCAACCTACCTGCAGTACTTACTTTGAGCAGCTCTAGGAAGCCGAGCATGCTCGGCCAAGAATCAAAGAGCACAAGGGCGCTGTCCCACTGCCGGCCCTTCTCACAGGCACCTCAGAATGGTCGACGACACCGGCAGTACGGAGCATCCGTCGATCACCTGCAGAGTCCGACGCCCAAAGGAATCCAACTGGCCGAGGACATCCACAACGTACGAGGACGTCAAAAAGGGGTCATGGCACCGCCGGGTACGCCGGGTACGTCGGGCACCGACCTTAGATTAAAGGAACCGATTCCAGGGGTGTCAACCGACGTCTGGTGAGGCTTTGACACAGGAGCCAAAGCTCGATCGGTGCGCGAACCGCTCGAGACGTCGATCTGGTCTTTCACCGTCCGCTTCACACCGCCCGCAGGTGCCATCCAGCTACACCGAGGTGTATGAGCCCTGTACCAATCGACGAAGGGATGTTTAGGCCTCGGAGCTGGAGATTCCCCCCGTGTGGTCACCCTGCAAATTCGCTTGGAGAATTAAACATGTTTGGAGACATGTTCAAACATGTTCAAACCATCCCCCTTTAAAACCAAATCTACTACATACACTCCCGCATGGTTCCGCTATGGCACTCAGGGCTGCCCCAAAGCAGAAGACGTTGGGCGCGACGCGGGCCACTGGAAGGGAGTCGAAGAGCTGCAAGGCTTCGACCCACCTCAGCCGGATCGATCAGATCCTGCAGCGGCCCCCCCTGAGGAAGGTCGGAGTGAGACAGAGACTCACACAAAATCACATACACCAGGCAGAAGGTACGACTGGACCCTCCAAACCTACATAAAATGGTGTCTCCATCCTCACCGTACCTGAGAAGGTACGACTGGATCCCTAAATACCTAGGAAGAGACCGGAACCATGCAGAAGACCATGGACCAGACGAGTTTAGACGACCAGGATCCTCTACAGTACAATCCGGGCGTGGTCTTTCACCAGGATCCATGTGGGTCTCTTCCAGGGCATATCATCCATGGAACGGTTCCATGGGACGGCGCCAGTCTCATGACTAAGCCCATGGATGGCTGACCCATCCATGTAGTAAAGTAACTGTTCCAGTCCCATGGATGGTCTGGGTGCGTGCGCATAGCAGTTTTTTGGGTTGTGTTTTGGTGGGGGTCTTCATCCATACCGTGAGGGCAGATTTTGCTATATATTTGAGACAATAAGGGCATAAGGTCCTGATCATGACAAACCTTTGCAGTTCCAAACACCGGCCAAAAGTCTCGGCCATGGTGGCACCTGACAGGGCATTAAACAGATCCAAACACGACCGATGGGGTGTGAATGCAGGTCGATCAATTGACCCCTGAAATCAATATAATTCAACCACTTGTACGGACAACATGCGCAGGTGGAGTGTCTGACCCCCTTCAGTTTCCCGTCTGTTGATATTAGTGGGGAAACCAATCTGTTGATATTGGCTGGTTCATGGTCATTAATTCATCTCTTGGAACTCACCTCCTCGTCCATTCCGCACACCGATTCTCCGAAAGGGCAGCAGCCCATGCCCCGATGGCCACGCCCTTGCCCCGTCCCTTCCGACGGAGTGCTTCGACCGGACCCTTTGGGGTGAAAGAAGCACCCGATCTGGACCTGGGACCTGGCCCCTACCTAGAAACCCCAGACATGACCTGTGTTTTGATAGGAAGTTTGACCATGTTTGGGCTCCAAAAACAGGGGTCAATCAGCTTCTAAGTATAACAACAGCTACGACATGCTACGACTGGGGCCCCATTTTCGGAGAAACAAATGGGTTGACTCCAAGTACTTTCTCGCAAAGGAACAGCTTGCTCTTGGCACAGCTGGAGATTCCCATTGTGAAGTCCCGAGCGTCCAGTTGCAGCTGCCCCAAGTGCCTAGGTGCAGCGTTTGGGCGCAAACTACTGCGAGACTGGTGAACAGGTGCCAGTATGCGGGTAGAGATTTCCATGGGACACACCAGTTTGGTAGACGTCCGATTAGATCTGCTGTTCAGGCTGAAAAATCCGGAGATCCTAATTCTTCATCCGGATGGTCAGTTGCTTGCTAACTCTGGGATTCCGCTTATGCGAGATCCAATTCTCAGGTTGGATGTGCGAGTCTGCGGACGTCCGCGGAAGCTCGTCATGTGAATTCCAAGTATGGTTCGATTTCGTGGATTTGCATGTTTAGGAACCTAGAAAAACAAAAGCATATTCAAAGGGTATTTACCCACCTGGTCCGCAACATCACATTTTCTTGCCAGCCTCAGGAATTCATTGACTTTGCTTCTTCACTTCCTGCAAATTCTCAGTGGTCGAGCCATTCGGCTGCCAAGCTGCAGCGCAACTTCGAGGCAATCAAAGACAGCCATGCCTGCAGGATGTTGGCATGTGCCGTGGGAATCACGCGTTCCACCCCTATACCCAAACACTCCATGAGACTGGCATACTGACTGGCAATTCCAAACCAGTCCCAGTCAGGAGTGTTTGGGAGATTGTCTACTTGGATTTGCATGTTTAGGAACCTGGAAGTTCGACCAATCTTCCCGTCGTGACCAGTGACCAGTTCGTGTGGGTCCTCTGTGGTCTGGCGAACCTGGCGGATCGGATCGGGTCAACAGTATACGTAACGAAACAGTATACGTCGCACAGTAACGAAACAGTATACATCATTTTATGCCCTAGGGCCCTAGGGATCCGTTTTCGTACCTTCTCAGGTACGGTGAGGACGGAGACACCGTTTTATGTTGGTGGTTTGGAGGGTCCAGTCGTACCTTCTGACAAGGTACTTGGATCCCTAGGGATGTGTTTCAAGGACGGGGAATAAGCAATGTCTTCTGGGATTGGAGGTGTAGAGATCCAAAGATCTGGAGGTCTACTCTTCAAATCCTGTACCCGTTAGGGCTCCAGTCGTACCTCCGAAACGAAGGTATGACCGTATGACCACCCACCCCAGTCCCACCTTCTAAGAAGGTCCGACTGGAGCCCTAGGGGTATATGTATCACCACCAACATTGAGATGTTTGCTACAAAACCCTGGCGCCCGAAAAGCCTGGCGCCGTTGACCTGGCGACGGACCGGTCATGTTGACTGACATCCCTCAGGCCCCCTGTTTGTGTCTGGGTGGTGAACCACGGTGACGGGGGTTTTGGACGCAACCCCGCTCACTGACATGGAAAACCACCAAGGGGCCATGCCATCCACTTCCATGTGATGTGTTCATCAGAGTGTTTTGTGTCTGCGTTGTATCCCTTTGTTTGCCAGTGTAGCTCTGGTGAAAGGCATGATGAAGCTAGGACTTTGGCCAAAGACTTTTGGCCAGAGTTACCATTTCCTCATTATGGAACTAAAAGGTTACCTAATGTTACACGGATGGGCCATAACTAAATGGGATCCATGTATGCAACATGATGCAACTACTCCATGCATGGATGGTCTGGGATTTACGAAGGATCCAGCTTAAGTCCCATGAGTTGGCAAACACCGAAGAAGATTCAGCTTCGGCCTGGGTTGTTTTGCGCCAAATGCTTCAGCATCTCATGCAACCTCTGACGGTCCTTGATCCCGGCCACATCCGCGACTCGTGAGGAAACCATGAGTCCAGCGGAGCCCAGCGCAAGCCGCAGCCAAGCCGCAGCCAATTCGCTCGTTTTTGTTGTGCAGAAAAAACAAAACTAAACGTATCCATGACAGATCAGGGAGTCTTGGAACATGGAACCATGCAAACAAAAACATCAGTGTTTGATCGTGTTTGTGAAGATCAGGACGTCCACTTGATTGAAATCTTTCTGAGCTGATTCTCTTTCGCCAGCGATTGGTTCCTGCCATCTAGAGTTTAGTCAGGTTTGGCTCCTGCGTCAGGTTTTGCCACTGGCGACCCAGGGAGAGATGCTCGAGAAGTCCCCTCCGGAACCTCTTGGAATTCTTGAACCAACCACAAGGGGGGGTGGCCACCCAAACCCTCAAACCACAGATTTGGTCCAATCCGTATTCTGTTTTGAATCAACCCGGGGAACCCCAGCAGCTCAAGGTGTTTCGCCCGCAACCTGCGGGAGTTCAGTGAGATGTGCCAACGGCTCCGGCAAAGAAGTCATCGTGCAATGTGCCAATAAGGACGTCCTTCCTGACCGTCTTGCAGGCTCTCTCTCTCTCTGGCTTCAAGTTGATCCATGGCGAGTGTCTAAAGCGATTTTCCTCAGATCTCTGCTAGAAAACATTAGTTTACTGATTCACTCAGTTTACTGACAGAAGAAAGATTAACGCGGTTCCACCAAACGAAACAAGTTTCCTTGCGAAACCATTGGACTGGTTGGTGTTTTCAACCCAGTTGAACAATATGAGTCAGTGGGTTGAAAAATATCCCCAAGTAAGGGTTGAGAATAAACATACACTCCCGAAAACTAACATAGACCCTGACGTCCTGGCCCCCTGGAAGATTGTTTTCCTCTACCAACCAGGGTCCATGTTAGTCTTCCAGGGTGTAATTCTCAGACAGACCCATCCAGCTGGAGGTTTAGACCATTCAGCTAGTTGGACCCTGGATTGTATCCGAAACCATCAGCTAGTTGGACCATTCAACCCCCCCCAATCGTCCGGGGCTTTTGGCAGGTTTCATCGCCGCCGGAGGACGGAGGAGGAGTTCCGCCCCGACCCGGTCGGGCGCGGACGCCGAAGGAACCCATGCTCTGCCAAAACCGCGCTTCGCTCAGATTGGGAAGGTCAATGTTCAGAAGTCCGACGACTCTATAGACTCTGAGCTATAGTGAATAGCCTTCCTAGCAATGGCCTCCAACCTACTAGATGGGTGTCGCTTCCTCCTTCCATCTCCTTCCCCCTGGTCCGTCCGATCCATCCACACTTCCATGCTCTTCCAGCATTTCCCTTTCGAAAGGAATGACTCCGCACCACGTCCATTCTCTGCTCGCCTGGTGGGGTGCCTCTGACACCCAGCGCCCGAATCCTCGGCTCGACTGTCGATTGTCGTCGACAGTCTGCAAGAACCAATTCGTTGGACACTTGGAAATATAACTGGAAAGCCTTTGTCTTGCATATTTTCTTGCATATTTTTTGTTAAAGGGAACATTGAAGCTGTTGCAGTTGCAGACAT